ACACACACACACACACAGTTGGATGGATTAAAAACACCCTGACATCCAGCGGAGCTCCGGCGCGTCTCCACCGATATTCCAACATGGACCCGGGGTGCTGGAGCGCACAGATATTTCTATTTGCCTGTGAACCGCAGAGAGATGGGCTGTCAGTGGGCTGATACTGTCCGCCATGTAGAGGCTACCTACAGGGACAAGAGAATCCAGATAAATTAGATTATTGGATTGACTGCAACAGATTATAGCTCTTCTACTTCCTCGATGCTTCATGAGAAAACCACATCAATCTGATCATATTGCACGCGGAGTTTGTAATATAAAGGTAAGCATTTGTCTTTATTGGCGCCTGTTTCTTAATTTACTTTTTATGTATATGTTTCGGTTTTCTTTATACTGCAGATTATTGGCAACAGACAAGAACTAGGTCGCTGCACATCAAATTGCATTGCAGTTGACCGAGACAACACATTTATTGTTATAAATGTGTTATAAAATGATGAAATACAATTAAATATAGTACTGAAGTAGACTACAAAGGAAAACATTCTGGCACATGCTACATTTGCTACAGCCGACGGCAGTCAGTGGCCTATTCAAGTCGCTTTATTGTTATTAGTGAATAGATGGGGACCATTAGCTTTACCCAAAACACAATGGAAAACATATTTTATTCAACAAAAATCAGCAACAAAGCTACTTTATTATGTAAAGAAGCGCTTATATTGTTCCCTGTGTGAACTTTTTTTTGTTATTACTCAAATTGGTCATATAAATAACTGAATTTGGCTCAAAAATGCACAAATTACCTTGCTGAACACTGTCTCCAATCCCTCTCTACAGGGATGCAGAGTTTCTGATCAACTTGTGGATAAATGCTGTTTGATTAATTAACTTACTTCATTCAAAGTTATTGAGTTTCTCATCAGTTGTGTTTACATGCAGACAGTGAGGGTATAATTATCTTAAGGTGTGTAGGACACAGTCGGCTAATATAATGCAGTTCTTTCATGCAGAAACTTTCCATGAAGAAGTCCCTCAGAAAGATATATTTTAAAGATAAATATATGTCCCTATTTATTGATTACATTAAGCCATCCAACAGCAAACAAGTGCAATGTCTAAGAACATGTCATTTCAGTGCTGTGGTGTAATTTAACAAGCCAGTCTATCAACAGTGAACTTTCTGTAGTTTTAAATCCTCATGACAGTCTGTGCTCTTTTTTTGGCACCAGCCTCCTCTGTGATTGTGTCTGACCTGCGGGGATTGTTATATAACAGCCTCCTGGAGCCACTGACAACAGAAGCCATGCAGTAGTGACTACAAGAGAAGTCAAACTCACTGCAGTGCTTCATTATACAATGTCCAAATGGAAGACATCAAGCACAGGGAGGCAAACCATAACAAACCACAGCTCTAGGATATTATTGAAGTATGTTTGACGCAGTATTGTGACTGAGGCGGTCAGTTCGGTCCTTGAACCAGCTTGATAATTGGGGTGTAAAAGTGAAAATAGCAGCCCTTGCCTTTCCCTCATTACCGTTAAGGAGTTGCCCTTTAACAAGGCAGTTAACACCTGACTGCTCCAGTGGCCAACAGAAGAAACAGTGGTAGTACTGGGCAGGTACTCCCAGCGGTGATGTTGTGTAACTTTGCGAAATGTTGCATAGTCCTCCTCCTGAGGTTTCTTCCATTTTGTTGTTGTTAAAGGGGTTTTTGGGGGATTTTTTCAGTCTAAGGACGGCTGGTGTTGTAGCTTATACTGTAAAGATTCTAAAGCACCATGAGGCAAATTTGTGATTGTAATATTGGGCTATATAAATAAATGGACTTGACTTGATGCTTTAAAAGAGCACAGAGGTGGTGTCCACCTGTCTAGGGATTCCCAGTGCTGCATCAAATATGATCTGCTTTGTAACAATAGTGAGGCCTCATCACTACCATCACAGATATGTTTAAAGTCGGTCTGTATATTCCATCAAACTGAATGAAGTTCAATATGCATTACAAGTGAGAATTGAATCTGCATCATCTAAGAGTATCTTGCATCATGCACGATATTTTCTTGCAAGCACTTCTTATGATGGTGCTAGTCCTTGTTAAAAAACTAACAGCATACGTGCCATACTCACTGGATGAAATATATAGACTATAGACTTACTAAGATAAGATAAGATAAGATATTCCTTTAATAGTCCCACAATAGGGAAATTCCAAACTACACAACACGACTTACTAACAGAGAGCAACAGTGTATTTTAGTTCTAATATCTAAGGTGGATATGGGGAATCTGGCTATTTAAAAGGGGGGCATGGTGGATGAATTGGTGTTTTTATGTCCGTAAGGGTAGAAATGGGTATTTGGATTAGTTGATTACATGGAAGTAAAATATACATCTATTCGCATATAAATTTTTGATGTGAACAGACCCTAAGAAACAGACTGTCACCAGAAAATGCACAATATCACAGGTCACAACTTGTGCCTGGATAAGAGATGCCTTTTGGAGACAAGAATAATATTAGAGATGTATGTGTCACCCTCAGTGATATCAAAATGGCCTGCTCAGCCTCCTCCAGTCGGTTCAAACACAGCACTGTACAACACTGCTGTTTAGATAAAGGATGTGCAAGTATAAGCAGAAAGGGCACTAGAATAGCCAGCAAAGCAGGAATGCTGTATTACATTGTATCCATAATCCCCTGATGAAAAGTTGCTGATGGGTTGCAAGAATAGAAAAATATGCAACAAATAAAAAAAGAGGGTAAGATTGTTGTCGTACAGTGTCACTCTGTTGTCACCCAGAGAGGAGATAGACAGATTGTGTTGTGTGGACTTAGACAGAGAGTATAATCCCCTCTAGCAGGGAGGGGAGCAACAGGAAGGATAAAGCCACCAGCAGGGAGACTTGCATGGCTGCTATGCAGTTGCCATGGTTCATAATCAACCTAACTGTATGTACTGTACCTGTAGTGTGTATGAGACATGCATTAGTCTAATCTATTCTTTGGATATTTACTTTGCTGATGGTAAATCATTCAATTTCCTGGAGAAGCCAAGTTGTTTTTGTAGGTGGTTGTAATATGGAGTCATTTTTAAATCCAGCTTTTGTTGTGCATATTTATAATTTCTCTACAGTATCATAACATGTGAGGACTGCCATAACTTAGCTCATTTTAATGCGTGTGCAAGTGTGTTCAATAATCTAACTCTCCATATGCTTTAATATGACTTAAGAATCATACCTACTGGGCTATACTGTACTCTTAAAAAGCACCGTTAATTACTGTGGGTTGTTTTGTGGTTTTCACTGACCGTATGGCAGCGTGTGCCGGTGCAGAGTGGTAACATGGAGGACAGCTTTAACCCAGGGAGCTATTACTGTCCCCGTCTATTAATACCCCCAAAGTCTGCGCTGAGGGAAGATGCTGCTCAGTTACGTCTGACAGAAAGTCTCAAGGGTTTGAGTTGTACGAGAACTTGTTTACTTCTTTGAATTGTACATTTAAGGTTCCCAGATGCTTTCTCCTTTGATGTCGAAATGTTCTGAAGATAAATACTATAAATGAATAATTACAGTAATTTTGGGGCAGATGTTTATACTGATATTTGAGAATAACAACATTATGGTAACAATTTAATTGTAAGTGCATAGAGTAAACTTATATATATACTTAGGTATATCAATCCATACGCACTTATTGATATGGCTGATATTTCTTTTTAATACTCCACCTTCCTTTCCTTTTTTATGGTATACACAGTGTGTTTTTGTTTTGATATAATGAATTTGAATCAGTATAAAATAAAAACAAAATAAAAACATTTGTTTAGTTGTTTATAGTTATGATGAGCCAGTATTGGGCAATAAAAACAGACCATGTATATCTGTTGGTGTGGCTCCAATAGACACAAAAATACATTCATTAGTAAACACTAATATCACTGATATTATTATTATTATGTTCATCATAATCAGTCACTACTATTAGTGTAGTTGTTGCTACTGTTGTTGCTGTGCACCTCTGTCTGTCTCTCTCTCTCTCTCACCCCAAC